ACTATGGCCGCCGGTGTCTCTAGCTTCACGTTTCTGACTATGGAGTCTCCGATTACCAGAGTTGTTTTCTCAGCGGGTGTGTCGCTGAGTGGGGAAAATCGATTTGAAACGTGAACAGGCAGGTGATGCTCCGTGGACATTCGTTTGGAGCTACGACTCTTGCGAACTGTCACCCAGCCACCTGTCTGAGATCCCGGCTGCTCGGGAAGCTGTGGGGGGCGGCTATCTTGGGCTAAGCTACGTCTAGGAGGCTCCACACCGTGCTACGTGGGCATAGCTAGCTGGCCTATTCTCCATGGTGTGTAGCCGCGCTTCTAAGTCTGTGAGCCTCGCCTCCAATGCTGCTAGCATCTGACATTTATTACAAGTACCATTATCGCTAAAGGAGGCAGAGGAATAACTGAACATGCGACACTCCGAGCAAGAGAAAGGAGGAGAGGAAGAGGGGGAAGCCATTGCTCTCGATTAAGCTACTAGCTTAGCTAGCTTCTAAACTAGCCGACCTAAAGTAGCAAGTTAAATTTGGTAGTTAGCAAGAACTTCTGCAAAACAAGTGCTTTAAGTGGTGCAAGCGTATGTTGTCACTCAAAAATTCAGATGAACCTAGAAAATAGTGAGTTTAATTCCTAAACAATCTGGAAGCAAGCACAACGCAGTGCAAATACAGAAAACAGGAAATGAGTACGGTTTACCGCAGGAAACAGCAGTCCGTCCTTTCATCTAAAGTTAAAAGATTTTCCATTTCTAAACAGTGGAAAACTCTGGGTTTGGATCAGTATTTTTCTTCTCATGAACAAATCCCATGTATCGCGGCCTGATCTCTCCCCTCCTCTGAGCTACACTGCTGCACTGGGTGACACGTTCCTTCATCACCATGAACACACGCTGTGGTTTATTCTGACTCAGTCCCACGTGGATTCATCTGCTGCTGAAAACAGTCAGCAGGCGATGACTCACTACAGGGGCCTTCAGTGATTTTACTCAACAGTTACTTCAAAACTCCACCCTGTGAAATGTCATGTTAACGGCATGCAAACTATCCACCCATCCATCCCTTATCTATACGGCTTATTCCCGAGTAGGGTGGCGAGGGGGGGCTGGAGCCAATCCCAGCTGATGGTGTGCAAACTACTTTTTGTTAAATCTCTGTTTGCTGTTTACCATAAACTACTGAGTGTCTGAGGGGTGGTTTCGGACACAGACAGGGTCTTTGGATTTGATCCACTGACTATATGAAAAGTACTAAATAGAACTTGTGCCAGTCTCATCCTTCAAAATTGATTCTTCAACTTCTTTATGAGTTTTGTTTTGTCTGACTTGGGGATCAGCAGATCTTTGTCTGATCTGAGAGGCTGGCAGATGATCTGACAGTAAATCTGAGAACTTTGCTTTTAATAAGTTATTTTGGGGGCATTGTGCCTTTATTATTGTAGAGTAAGCAGATTGTGGAGAGGCGGACAGGGTAGAGGACCTGCAAAGTAGGTCAGCGGCCAAACTCGAACCGCCGTCACCCACACACAGTGGGTGCATATACAGTGCACCGCACTGTAACCATTTGACTATCAGGGTACCCAGCAGCTTCAATTTAACTTATTTTTGATGATAAAAAGTAAAAGATCTTTCTAAGGCACATTTATATTAGAGTTAACAGCTGTGGATCTGGTCCTGAAAGCTGCTTCTCCTTCAGGGCTGCAGTGTGTTGGTCAGCTTGGTTAGAATGCAAACACAATACAGCTTCACCCAGTTGGTCTGAAACCGCTTAGGCCTGACAATTCAGATTTTGCCTGTTTGCTTCCATGCAGCCTTACCTCACACGTGTATCTGAAATGATGTCCATGAAACTGTTGGCTGTGAGCAGCAGTGGCAGAAACTCATGTAAAGTAACACCATGACAGTAAACTGTGCAATATTAAACATGCTTGTTCTGACTGAAGTTTTCTATGAAACAGTCTGAAGAGTGGTACTTCAGTGATTAAGCTGTACATTTGCATGACGTTGGGGGAACAGCAGGAGACATAATGATCAAATAGGCTCAAATAAGTAAAATAAAAACAGTCAGTACCCTGCCTTCAAGGCCAAACTCAGACCAAAGCTAAATAAAAACTATCAAATATGATCAAGATGTTTTAGTTTTCATCCACAAATAAAAACTAAATGTGAAAGACAGACAATTGGACATTATGGGTCCTATCTGGAGGATCTGTACTTGATCTCCTCATTAAGGCCATCTGATCAAGATGTACTGGCACAAGTTGTGTCTGTGTTCATTTCGTAATTTGATGACGAAGAAAAACGGTTCAAGCACCGTGCAAGTGACAACAGGCCTGTACTTGATCTCCTCATTAAGGTAGGGGTGTGTTTTGGGTGTAAAATGCAATTATCGAATCTGTGTTTCCTAACATCATCTTTAAGAAACGTGTGAGTTTGAACGTTTGGAGGATTGCTAGCATAGTGGCGGACTGGCCAGGTCGGACGTCAGTAAGGTTTTCCACTGAGGAACCGGATCTGCTTGTGCACGAGGTGAAGGCGTATGATCGCTGCAAAGAGTTTTAGTATACTGAAAGTGGAAAATGACAGATGGTGACAAATGAGAGGAGCCTCATGATTGACTGAGTGGAAACCCAAACAGCAGGGTCACTGATCAATCAGCTGATCACCGTCCTGATGATCTGATTGATCTGTTTATCCCCAGAATGTCAGACACTGGAAAAAGTCCCACAGTGACTCTCCAGAACCAAAGGTGGCATCTCCATGCGTCTCGTTGTGTCCAACCAGCAGATCCACAGAGACTCAGCTGATTCTCATGTCTGACAAAGAAAAGCATCAGCTCCTCACATTAAAGAAGGTGGAACCAGAACATGTCGGTGACTGTTGCTTCTAAATAGCTGAGGTTCATTTTCTACCAGTGAACTGACTCATGGCTGCAGCTCTAGGTCACTGAATGGCTTCATGAGGACGACACAATGGGACAGACACAGTGAGGGGATCTGGTTTGGAAGGAGGAGGCTTCCTCCTCTGACAGAGGAGACCTGACAAGGCTCTGGAGACTTGGCCCTGCAGGGCGGGGGTCTGTCACCAGCTGTGTGCGCCCTATTAGGCTGTCCTGGTTGAGGACCTGTGCACGCTGACTGACAGCACTCTGAGTTTGGATATAACACTTTTCCTCTGACAGCCATGTTGGCACTTCAGTTTTGCTCCGTGACCGTTGCCATAGCAACTGGTGTTCCTACGGCAGCTGATCTCTCAGCTCATGGCCTTGTCACCATGGTGATGTTTTGTGGAGGATGATGGGATTTATTTACAGCCAACACTCGTCAGCTGTGCAGAGAAAAGCAGCAGCCGCAGCAGCAGGAACACTAAAACCAGGTGGGCTGCCTCCGAGTGCAGACCTGCTCCTGAACTGGTTCCCACCACGCAGTGAGAACCAACATGTACGATACACGTCATCTTCTATTTTCATGCAGTAAGGAAACGCTGAACAGATCTGACCTGAGGAATCTGAAACTGCGTCATCACTTCAACATGGGCTGGAGGTGGGCAACCTCTGCTGGTGACCGAGTGACATGAAAACTACTGAAGGAATACAACAAAAAGTAAAACTGAAGCTGCCAGAGAAAAAAAATCAGGGAAAATGACTGACCAGCCTGCTGCTTCAGTAGAAATGCAGCAGTCAGTTTAAATAAAAGCTAAATCTATATCACAATAAACTGACAGTTCCTCTTTATGTATAAAATGTAAAAGAGACTAATGGATCTCTTCCTGCTGTGCACAGACGCACGGCTGTGACTGGAGAGCTGAACGTATGAGGCTATATTCAGTGTGACTTCAAGTGTCCGTGTTTGATTTTCCAGACACTTTTCACTAAGTTGAGTTAGTGAACGCCCAAGTTGCCCCCGATGGTTAGAGTCATCGGTTGAGGTGGCACCACAGATGGCTGCCATCGGTTCGGTACCGGAAACAAATTCCTTGTGTGTAACATACTTGGCCAATAAAGGTGATTATCCTTAAATCAGTTTGAGTCACCCATTTGTCACTGACATGGACAGTTATCATAGTTCAGAAACTGGTGATTAGTTTAACTCCTCTGTGACAGGAACACGGCATTACACGTTACATGACAATAGACCTGCAGTATGGCTTTAGTTTCTCTGTTGTGCAATGTGTAGATCATCAGAAAAACATTTCCAGAAAGGGGAAGAGAATACGCCCAGCTCCTGCTAAGCTGGCTCTTTGTTCAGCTCTTTGTTACATGGTCTCAGTTGGCTGGTTCTGCATCGCCACAAAGGGCCACACATGGAGAAATCACAACACACAAGTAGAATTTGTATCAAATTTATTCCATAAAATATACCTGCATGTAGCTCTAGGTTATTACAGTGAAATCCGCACTTTGAAATGTTCCACACAGGACAGGTCGGCTGCTTTTCCACCAGGACTCGGGACATAACGTGGGAATAAGAAGAAAACCAGTCTGAGGTCTGTTCAGACTGATGTTCTTCATACGTGAGTAACTGAGCTGTCAAGACTAGTGTGCTGATGACTGGACTTTGTGGTCAGAGCACAGCTCACTGCCAGATGTCATGAAAACAACATGGCCACATACACGGTGTCATGATCATGTCCATAAACATGACACAGTATAAAACAAAACAAATTTAAAGGTTGCACTCTGGAAAAGAACCGCTGTAAACAAATATGACATAAATTCAGCTTTAAATTTCTGACTAATAAAAGACAAGTGAGGCCAGAACATGCAGCATTTAATTCGATGTCAATATGTAAAATCATCATTTGAACACAAAAACCTAAAGGGTGAAGTGCAGCGCTCACTGTGCTGAACATAGCCGATGCATTTAAACCTTTTTAAGAGAATTTAGAAAGCCTTGTATTACCCAGAGGCATCTGGCACTGAGGAGGGCCTTGCCCCCCGTGCACCTAACATCACTCAGCCTGACCACGTTCACAGCCAATGCCTGGCTTAACACTAATGCACACGCAAGTCTGGAAGCACAACACGTGATACCTATGTCCAAGAATTTACTGCCCCAGTGCATGATGGGAGGGTTCCCAGCACATCTACTTCATATTCCTGCAGGCACATGATCAGCACTCATCATGAATGAGCAGTGATGGCGTTTTCCATTTCCTTAAAACACAAGCACAACTTCATCCCGGATGAATAAATCCCATCTTAATCTGCTTCAGAGAACCAACCCAGCTGGATCAGAAATGTCAGGATTATTGAAACCACATCTGAACAACAGGATCCTGGTCGGAGCTGGTTAAACTGGAGCTTAAACTCTGTTTTCAGTGGAAACGCAGCCAAACACAGAAACACCAAATAAAACCACCTCCTTACTAAAAAGTTAAATATTCTGTGACATCACATCTTTCACCCGAACAGGTGAATGTGGTGACAGTGGAGTTACTTAAGAAACTCATGTTTCATTTTGAAATAAACTCCTTCTTTCAAACGGATCCCAAACTGCATTGTCAAAACACGGTATGAAACCTGTGAAGTGACCAGTCAGGGTTTCACACGGTCACATGTCCATCTACAAAACCTGCAGGACAATTAAATGAATGATGATTTCATTTATTTAACAGCTTAAATATTCTCACAGCTCAGTGAATGACTGCTTTTGTGGGAGGAGAAACGTGAAATGCAATAAGGTACCAGCTGGAATCGAAGCAGAGATGCTGCTCAGCCCACCTGACCTGTCACACCTGAGAAGCGCCACTGCCCCGGCACCTGAGATCCATTAGCATATGGAGGGCTACACCTGGTGAGTTTCCCCAGGACTCGTGTGTCTCCCCGGTGACCTCTGTGTCAAACCAACACGTTTCATAGTGTGTTGAGCGTGAATGACAAAGAAGCAGGAAATGACAGAGCGGCTCTGATAAAGGCATCATAGTGAGGCCGAATGTAACCTGTGTCTACTACCTGTGCATTATATCGTCCTTGTAGAGTGTTTTACTTAGCTGGGTTCACCTCCAGGACATCAGAGCTGAAAAACTAGCTTCTCACATCTTACGTGCCACTAAGTGTAAAGTCAGCAGCTGGTACAGTGCGACATAACACAGGATTAATGCACAGTCTATCATTTTCAAAGCCACCGGTTTAAGACATTCATGTGCTAATAACTTTCCTTTATTAACCGTGTTTTTACACCAAGAATAAAATCTTGAGCCCGTCTGGTTCGCATCTGATCGTTTCCTCCAAAAATTCAAATATCACATGTTCAATATTTCATGAGGTAATGCTGATGTAAATCCTCGCATCTATTTTTGTCCCTTATCCCGTCATCCACCCCGGGTCGGCGGAGGCGCTAAAAGCACAGGTCTCCATAGCAACCAGATCCACGTAAAACACATACCGATCGCTGGGAAAGCAGCAGATTTTACCTTGAAAGCATGAACCTGATGACTGTGCTTCATCAGTCTGTGCAGCGACATGATGGGTCAGCTGATGTGTAGGAGGAGAGGTGCTCATTCGCCACACATGACTGAACACCCATGTTGTGGCTGGACATTACACACTACACACAAAGCCTTTACTTGGGAAATAAGGCTGATGATTTTCTGTTTAGGTTATTTTCTACAAGTCCCATACAAAGACCGAAGCTGCCTTCACATCACAGCTGGACATGAATGTGAAGCATCAACACAAAAAGATCCAGACCCTGGTCCAGCTTATCGCTCTGTGCTGTAGCCGTGGCGTCGCTGTGGACAGGGCCGTTGGTCTCTGTACACTTCTCCTGTAGCTTCTCACGCTGCACAGAACGTGTTGGAGCTGTTTGTGGAAAAGAGAGATTTGTGGAAAATAAGAACAAAAAACCATCAGCCTGATCCTTTAATGTACACAGTGCAGCTGAAAACGGTTCACGGTTTAAAAAGCGTAATAAAACCACTTTGTTCACCAAATCCAAAAGGAAATCTTAATCACAAAGTGCGACCGCCAGTGAACAATCGTGAACATGTTCAGAAACGTCTTTGAAAGTTCACAGCAAAGAGAGACCGTCCTACCCTTGGTCAGAACTGGTTCATCCTTCAGGATCACTCTTTAATTTATTTTGTGATGCAGGGTGATCCATAAAAGTACCATGATCTGGGAGTCCAGCTTCAGGATTACATTTTCATGATTATCACAAAGTCCAAGCTGCAACTCTAAAAACAGAAACCCTGGGATTTGAAGCGTCACAGTGACCACTGGTTGAACTGGTTTCACAGTTACAAGGTGACTGAACCCATGAAAGATGCACAGACTAGCGGAATACAGTGGCTACTGTCACTGTCAGGGAAGATCAATCCTATCTGAGAATAAAACCTAAATATTTAGAAATGTTAAATATTCTATCATCACTTTCACTGTTACACTTTTATTCCTACAATTATTCTTTAAAACACATTTGTTTACATTTTGACTTTGCTCACACTATGTTTTTCTCATAATGCTGTTTTTCTCAGTTACATTTTCTCATAAAGTTTTCACTCACTCATTTTTAAAAAAATTAGAGTTCTGCTCCTGAAATGTTGATTTTTCTCACAACATCACAACTTTCTTCTTAAACACAAAGACAGAACATTCACATTAGCGTAGTGATTGGTTCTAGCCCTCCCCCTCGTTCTCATGAAGGTTGTACTTGACCAAAAACTCTTTAATGGTTGGCTGATTATCTAGCCCCGCCCCCTTCTCCTCTAGGTGTTGCAGAAGCTCCTCCCACTGTCGTTTGTCTCTTCCTGTCTGCCAGGACAACCGAACCATTGCCTGTAACAATGGTAAAAGGAGGGGGTGTGGCCTTTCAATATGCAGAGGTGGTATGTCAGTTTGTGGGAGTGGCTTTTGATTTGATGGGTGTGGCTTATCCTCAACTGGGCAAGGTCTGTCCTCCATGTCAGTTCGAGTCTCAGTGGGGGTCAGGACACGGAGAGCGTGGTCACAGTGATACCGGGCCTCCTCCAGCTGGTCCACCTTTTGGAAACAGCACGACAGCCCCACCAAAGTGAAGAACCAATGGGAGGAGGCTGGGGGCGTGGCCTGAGCCTGGCTGTCATAGTAACTTGCCCAGCCCAGTTTCTGTTGCAGTCTCTTGGCGTTGAGTAGCGGACCCAAGGCTTCCTGGTAACGTCCCACCCTCAACAAAACAAGACAAACTCGACTATGAAACACCTTGTAACTACGAGTTTTTACACAGCTGTAAAGTGTGTGATCTATTTATCGAACAGCTTCAGGAGAAATAGACAGAGGAAAACAGACATGGACACAAGACAAACATTCAGACCAGGTCAGCAGCCACGCCACTAGTTCAAGAAACCTTCCTGGTACGTCGCACCTGAAATTTTGAGTCTTGGGGTCAACAACTGTGTTTGTATATGGGGTCAGAGGAATGGTTCTGAAATGGATTAAACGTTATTTGACACAGGCGTCAATTTGTGAAGTGGGGTGAATACCAATCGAGTGAGCTGGATATTGTATGTGGAGTGCCTCAGGGTTCTGTTTTGGGACCTAAATTATTTATATTATACATTAACGATATATGTAAGGTTTCTGATTTAGTGAAAGTGGTTTTGTTTGCTGATGACACTACCATATGGGCATTGGGTGAAAACCTACAGCAACTCTCTGGACGGGTTTCACAGGAACTTGAGAAGATAAAGAAATGGTGTGATAGTAATATACTATCTCTGAATTTGGATAAAACTAAATTTATGGTATTTGGGAATCGTAGACTAGATAATGAACTTCAA